TTCTCCTCAATTTTGATTTAGCTTCTCAATTTTGATTTGGCTTCTATTACTTCTTAGTTTGCAAAGTAGGAGGTTATTTTCTATCATTTTTACCTGCATGTTATAATAATTTAAATTTAAAATGTTTTATTTTTATTCGAAAAAAATTGTTATTAAATTATTTTAACCAAATTTTATACCCCCATAATCATGCGTATGCTTTCCAAAATCACAATCCAATTTTGGATTAACAAAAATATGTTGTTTTTCAGCACTATTAAATAGTGTCATTAAATGGATTGACTTCTTCTAAGATTAAAAGTAGGTTAAAAGTAAAGTGTTTTATTCATTACAATTCTATTATGAAAAAAGTGAATTTTAAATTAAACATATATAATTATCATAATATTTTAGACTCTCATCAACTAAAAAATATATATTGATTTAGGAATTCATATCCTTCTAATACTAAACAGCTAAGTTGAAAAAAGAAAAAAGAAAAAAGAAGAAGATATTATATAATTTTTTCTATGTGATTGGATAAGAATTTATTGGCATTATTTTGATATTTTAGACATATTTTGGCATTCTTATTAGTGAGGAGCTTTCAAAGATGGGAGAGAATTGGGAAAGGAGATGGTATCATGCACAAAAAGAAAATCGTGAGCTTCTTTTATTTACTTTGATTTATTTTGGAATATAGTTAACCCAGGACCTCTTCAAATCCTAACGCTAAAAGAACAAGTCCCTCCACAGTCCGACTCCAACATGGACTAGGAATGCAAGCATCACCGCCCATCGAGCTCCTCCTCATCGTCTTCTTCTATTCCATTCTTATTTCTTCAGATATTCATCCTTTTCAAGCTCCCTTTCGTCCTTATCGTCTTCTTCAAACACCATCAATGGCTTTCTTATTGAAGAGAAAAATGTTATCATCCACAGACAACACCAGCAAGCGAAGTTGTGTCTCCTCCTCCTCCTCCTCCTCCATCCTTTCTCTTCCGCATGAGCTCATCACAACGGAGATCCTTGCTCGAGTTGCTTCTTGTTCTTCTACAGATCTTTTCAATGCCAAACTGAGTTCCAAAGACCTTCTTGAAGCTGCAAACGATGATCATATCTTTAAACACATCTCCATAGACAAGTTCGAGAGATATATTACACCGTATGATAATCAAAGCAAACAAGTCTCTTCCTTCCTACAACGTTGTAAGGAATGTGGAAACTCAGAGGTTTTATTCAGAGCAGGGATGTCTGATTTCTTCGGTTCAAAGCAGGAGTCAGGACTCAAGAACCTCAAGAAAGCTGTGGAGAACGGTCATGTGGACGCCATATATGTCTATGGCATCATCTTGTTGTGCTCCGGAGATGAGAACAAGAGGGAAGAAGGTCTGAAACTTCTATCTTCATTCAAGAAATCTCAGCCAAAAGGGTTCAAATTGAGCGAATGTCGAGAGAGAGTCGAGAATATAACGAGACTCATGGCTGATATCATATGGAGACCATGGGTGCATCGACTAGTTCGAGAACAAGAATTATGCAGCCATTCGAAGAGATATCGCTATGAAGATCCATGGTTACCTGGTCTGACAAGAGAGCTTGAAGGTTGCTGTGAAAAGTGCGAGTTGGATAACGAAGCTGATTTGTTTTGCACCATGATGGCAAAATGTTATGCTTAGGTTAAGTATGATTTTTCTTTTTCTTTTTCTTTCTGGTTTTCTGGTATATCAAAGGGTTAACAGCTTAGCAGTACGGAGATTTGAACATTGAATTTTAACTTTAAACTAAAGTTTTTCAATTAGTAAGTATCAAACCCGATCAAGTTCTTATTAGTAATTTTCTCTCGTGCTTGTTAAGGTACATATTTTGAGAATCTTTCTTGCATTTGATTTACTTCGATGTTATTAAGAACTTGAATTGTGTTAGAAGATATATATGGAAGTGCGATCTGCTGATATAATTATATAATCTCCTGCTTCTGAGAAAAAATGGTACATGCACAAAAACACTAAGGATTCTGATTTACTAAAATCCCTTTCTTTTCATCCAACTAAAATCCCTTTCGTTTTCATCCAAATTTTGAAGTTTGAACATAAGACTTTCGATTTAGAGATCTCATGCAGTCGTTATGCACATGTAGTAGAGAGTGAGCAAGATCAGATTACAATGTCACACGGATAATAAAGATAACAGATAGCTCATTAGATTTGCATTTTTTGCCTCGTCATGTTAAATTCTATCTAATAGCTGTATCCAAGAACTGGGTAAATCATTCGAAAGATGACAAGATCTGTGACACATTCTATGAGGAAGGAAAGCAAAGGTGACATTTTTTTTCATACATGCAAAAAAATTTATGGATAATCATTCATGGCAGTAATTAACTTACCAGATAAACGCTACTTTTAGCTCAACCTGTGCATACCATTTCTCAGAACCTGTCGACACTCGCAGACAGGATATAGATGTATGTCGAGAGAATAAAAGAGAAATTTAGTCAACAAAATTCAAGAAGCTAGCTCAGAGATTTTGTAATTAAACCAAGTTCAAATGATACATATTCTCATAATTCATGCATTTATTTAATTGTAGAAAAGGGGACTAAAGACCTAGGTGATACCGTCAATCAAATTTGTAGTGCTTGTCCACGGCCACTGAAACATCCCAAGTGCAACTCATTCCTTTTGGGAACTCAACCAAGTCACCAGCACCAAACTCAACAAAATCATTCGTTCCATCAGGGGAAACCTTTACTTTGCCCTTTAGCAGATAACAGGTCTCCTTAGACTCATATGTCCATGGAAATTTACTTGGAGGGCAACCCCACCTGTAGATCAATTATGCACCATAAAGTTAAAAATACACAAAACTTAAGAACTTGCATGTTAATCTAGCAGAAGTCATATCAAGTAATGACAGCAGAAGTACACATTTCCACAGGGTGCAAGATATGCATAACAAACTTTGTGTTCATCTTTGAACAGGCACAGTCATAATATCCACCAACCACATACACACACAGTTCCAATTTTTCTACTTTATATCCAGTATTTACATCATTAATGTAAGTAGGAGAACATCTTCTTCTTTTCTTTTATCTTTTTCATTTCTTTTTTTTTTTATTTTTGATGTAGAGGAGAACATCTTATGGAATTCAAATTAGAATTTATAAGAGATACTGAGATAGGACTCTCATTTTGCATATCAAAAGCTGTCAGCATGTTTATTGCAGCTTAACAGAGGAAATGCCTCTTATCTTATAAGCTGGAGTATTAGATATTATATCGATGTTATATCAATCTCCAACTTCATGATTAAATTTGAGATGCAATCCAGAGCCATAAGCCAAAAGCCATATCAAAACAAGTGCATAATATCCATTTAAACTGGATCCGACATGGAATTTGCTGAAGTATCATTGCATGGCATTAATAGTTCAATATCAATATTCAAACCAATCCTTGAAAATCATCCAATTTGACAAATCTCCAGAACACCTCATTGATTTAACTGCTAGATGAGACTATCCTCATCTGCCAGAGGCACATAGTACTAAAACCCCTTCCCTCCCTGCCCTGCATTTAATTCCAAATGAAGAAGACACAGAAATGAAAATGAAGAAAGCACACTCTTTTCCAAAGCAAATATAACCACTAATCAGTTTCTTACAAAATCATGATTAAAAAGTACCCATGAACTTCCATACTTAAGAAGTATCAACTTCAATTGATTAGCAGCAGGTTTATATCTTGGGATTAGTATAGTTCCTTTTGCATCCAATTTCATATACAGAATACAATCCCCATATGCAGCTGAATATAAATTCCCAAATCTCATGGAACCCAGAATTAAGAACACAATCCTCTACAAAAAAAGCCTTTCACTTTCTTTCCAATTTCAACATTTCAGCCAAAACCCAGAAAGAAAAACGTTTGCTGCCTCAAGAACATCGTTCAATTCAGCCAAATAAAAATTAAGAGAAAAATAAACCAAGAAAGAAGTTTTACTTGGGCCATTGTCTCACGCCGAGTTGAGACAACTTGGACTCGGGAGGATTCTTCTCAACCTTGATTCCCAGTTTCTCGGTGGCCATGCTCTCTGCTCTCACTGTTACTGCTACTTGCCTTGTTGATCTCGATAAGGGTAAACGCAGAGACGAC